TGGACCAGGCGTTTGTTTTTCATTAAAAACCACTTCAATCAATTCTAATTTTGAAGTGAACCACTAAATTATATTTTTTGTAAAACATAAGACAACATTTAGAGCATAAACAATTGTTTAACCTTGTTTATTCATCAATTTGAGCAATTTGTTTCAATATCAAAAAAAATCTTACTTTTTAGATACCTTCCTTGGTAAATATTAAAAAAAAAAAAACAGTTAACTCACCATATCTTCTTTACAGGCACCTAACTAAACAGGTAACAATAAAGGTAACTTACAAATTGATATTCTTTCTAAGGATGATAATAATAACAAATTTCTTATAACATATTAGTATGTTAAATGGTTAACAAGAACTTAATAAACCCATTTTAGAGTATAAAAAATATTCATGGTCTTACTTACTAGTTACTTTTGAGTTTCAGACGACGTTTGAAGTTTGAATGAAAAAAAAAATCGTTATTTTGTGTCAAACGAAATGATAAGGATCGTCCTGTACTATTGTTATCACTAGTATCAAAAATTGTTCATTAGATGTACCTATGTTGAGAGACATTGATTTATGGTATTATCAATTCCGTAATTTTACTTTCCTCTAAATTACGGTCCGTGATTTTACGTTCCTGGATAATACAGTCCAGGGTATTACTATCCGTGATATTACATTCCGCATTTTTCTGGTTCCGTAATTATACTATCCGTGATATTACATTCCGTATTTTATTGGTTCCGTAATTTTACGTTCCACAAAATTATGGTTTGAACAACTAAATTCCGTTATTTTACGTTCCGTAGTATTACGGTCCGTAATTTTACTTTCCGTATTTTTTATCATTCCGGTCAATTATTTTCCGTAAAATTACGGCCTCCCACTCCAATCCAACAACAAAAATACATAACCAAAAACTTCATTTAATATGCGATATACCACATTTGTTTAAGAGTGTCCGTAACAATTTATTGAATGGTGATATTCAAATAAATAATAAAAAAATTATATTTCAAGATATTGTTCAAACGTATGAAATTGATACTAAAAATTCAAAAGCTCGTAGTATGTGTAAGATATTACCTATTCATTTAAACCCTAATCTATTTCAAAAAATGTCATGCAAATTAGCTTTACAAATATTCAGCAACAGTGTATCTTCAGCTATAAAAACGTCAATACATACGGGTTAGTTAAAATCAAAATATGCTAATGATACAGCTGACTTTCTACTTGAATTAAACAATACATTTGACGCATGTAATAGTCAAAATCGTTATGATAAAAATCCTGACAGGCGTCTAATGAGCTCTCATAATAAACATATTTTTTAAAACATTAACAAAACTATTTCAACTTTCCAAAACGCTAAAAAAAATATGTCACAAAAACAACTAAATTTCAGTGCCACCATGTTTTACGGAAATGGACAGGTCATTAACTGCTATAAAACAAATGTATGAAATAGAAAGATCTACAGCCGAAAATATCTTTCCAGCGAATGAGAAAACTTTTTTTTTGTTAACAAATAGACTTAACCAAGATCCTTTGGAAAATATGTTTTCAATTATGAGACAAAAAAATGGATACACGCGAAAATCAACCGCAAAAATATTCGGTACTTGTTTTGTTAGTATTTGTTAATTTTCGTTAATGAAAAATTCGGAGAAATGTAATTGTGAAGCAGATCAAGATGAGTTTTTAACTATTGATATTTCATCTAACATCGAGGTTGAAGTTAACAATGATACAAGCAAAAACATTTTAGATAAAGAAATTGAAAACGAGACAAATGGTACCTCTAGTGATGAACATACAAGCTCAACATGTTCAACTTCATCTACTGAGTTGAAACCAAAAATAACAACATTAGAAGAATGTTCTATTATATACTTTAGGTTATCTTGCTAAACGCACTATAGAACATTTCAATTGTACAAATTGTGAAAAAAACTTAATTACTGAAGATCTTATTAATGAACCAAATCAATTATTAATAACTTTTAAGACTTTCGAACACCTAAATAACACATACAACAAGGGATTAAAAAGCTTACAAATATTAATATGCAATATTTGTCTTAATGTATTTTCAAAAATGTTTGCACTCATAAAAAGTGAAAAAGAATGATAAAAGGTGCTGTATTAAAATTAAACAAGCAGATTATAAATTTTGATGAATCAACATGTAAGGGACATTATGAATTTATTTTACAGTTGTTATTAATAACTAGAATTTATAAAGAATGTAAATGGTCGAAAGAAGACAGTTTTAACAAACTTTTAAATAAATTACCCGAAAAATTAAGAATTTTGTATAACAAATGAAATACGTCTACATTTTTATATTTATTAACTATGTGATTAGTTTAGTACGTGTTTTATTATTATTTTATATTTATTTATCAATGTATATTTATTGCTAATGTTTATATATTATATCACCATGTAGTTTGTATCACCAGTATATCTAATTTGAACTTGTGTTATTATTTAATAAAGTATTATATTTTAAATTTCAATTATTTAGGTTGTTAGGTACATAATTTAATTGTTGATCTTTTATTAATTTTGATTTGTATATTGTTAATTTTTCTGTTTGTATAATTTCATACTTTTTGCTTCATTTTATTTTGCTCGTTATGTTTATAAAAACCATATCAACAAATTTAACACTCAGGTAAATAAATATTTAAAAACTAATAAAGTAATAATATTATTTAAGCCTTTAAAGTGAAAGTTAAAAAGTACCCTTATCTAACGTACCTATACCTACATTTATAATATAAATTAGGCATACCTACCATAAAAATTTTTTAATGAGTATGTTATTATTGTTTTATGTTATTCGAAAATTCGAAAATTAGACTTTTTGATATTTGTGAATAATTGTAACTAAGTTAAAACTTTTTGATTTCAATACAAGTGATAAACTTGAATATCTCAGCACAAAAAAGTTTGATTGGTAAGTTTGAACAATATTTTAGGCGTCTTAACTAGTTGGATTCGGGTATTATGCATGAGTCTCCGGCGAGCATTTTTGGAAGCAATAGCGCAGTTGTGGATTTGCACGTTACGACATGTCACACGACGGCGGCCGTCAACGACGATGCAGTAGGCGATTAGGAATAATATTAAATTTTATTGTAGACAAAATACCTTAACGCGGTCTATCGGAAATAATTTCCGTGCGGTATTTTTACACAAGCAGTGAGCAATCTACAGTATTTATAATCAATGGTTACGTCATTTGTTTGTATTTGTTTGACCAAATTTAGAATTTGTTTGATGTCGGTTCCCAATGGAAAATCAGTTTTCCGTGCGGGGGGCTGCAGAAACGTTTCCCCAGCCCCCCACCCCGTTAAATATTGACTTTTTGCAAATTTTCTTTTCCCAACATTTAGTACGTCATTTGTTTGTATTTGTTTGACCAAACTCAGAATTTGTTTAATGTCGGTTCCCCTTGGAAAATCGGTTTTCCCGTGTGGGGGCTGAGGAAACGTTTCCCCAGCCCCCCGCATAAGAAATAATGGACTTTCAGCGATTTTCAGTGAATTCATGAACTGGCAACTATATAAATAAAAATGCAAATAAATCTATTTAATTGTCTATTGATATTATGATATACATTATAGGTATAAGGTATTATTGCATAATATTATTATAAAGTTGTATAAGATACAATGGTTTGTTACATAAAAATTAAATCATAATTAATGTTTTTAAAAAAAATAAAAAGTAAAAAAAATTTTAAAAATAAAAATAAATCTATAACAATCTGTTTAATTTTTTTTAAATATATAATTTTAATTATTATTTAAATAGTATAAATAAGGAATTCACATGGTACTTTTGTGTTACCTTTTACGTATTTAACGTTTTTTTGGACATCATCATACATTTCCCATTTATTATGTCCTCTCTTACAACATGCATAATAATGGCCAATGGAAGTCCTGAGACGACTTAGTCCACGACGGAAACAACCCACACCTCTTAACTCATAGGTTTTTCGCGATGCTATGAGTATCTGTGGTGTATTTTCAAGTATAATTGATGGTTGTGGAAGTACTTTGCTGCTATAGTTTAGATTAATATTTTCTACAATAATAAAACAATTTAATTTATATTTTGTAATTAATTTACCTAGATTAATACATACCTTCCCAATTTAATAACTCCACAAATATATGAAAAGCCGACATCACAGTTGTTTTTGTTTTTACTCCTTGGTATGCTTCGCCTTTTTTATTAATATAACCACAATTTTTTTTTCCAATTTTATCCTGGAGTCTATATAATTCTGTAAATCGGCTATGTTTCTATCATTTATGGTAAATGAAAAAATCATAATTGGAACTTTAGCTTCAGTCGTTCTTCCACATGTTAAAATATTACAATTTAAAGTGATGTGCTGTTGGAAACTCTTTCAATGTTGTATTAAATAAATTACTTGCTATTGTTTCACATTTGACTAAAGTTATGTTATATTCTAAAAATTCCAATTCTGGGTTCATATTGTTTATCTGTTTTATAAAACAAATTATTATAATTTATTTAATTTATATTTATTAGTTGATTAAGTACAAAATAGTGAAAGTCATAATAGTAAAGAAAAAAGACCGAAATCCAAATCAAATATCATTACCAGTGGTTAAATAAAACTGTCAAACATCGGTGATAACATAATTAACCTATGTGTATACCTATACCTACAACTAATAATAAGATAAACAATTTGTGTAACAACTAATTGATATTGTAGATTAATAGTGTAGTTGTTATCCAGTATTCTTACTGTTCGCAATCTGTACAGTATGACACAACGTTATTATCTTATGTAATATTTAATTTTTTTAAACTTTTTTACATTTTTATGGTATTCATAAAAAGTTATAAAAATAAAAAATTGTACGATTACTTTCTATGAATACCTTATTTATCGCGAAGATAGTAGTCGTGGATGACCATTGAATTGGCTCCCAATATAATTTTCAACAAGTGGTTCTCATAATATAAAAGTTGGAAAGGTACGCGACTTTAATATTTTTAGCGACACAGGGCCGGATATACTGTTTGTATATTTCCACTCTTTTTCGAATTCATTCTTCGCGTTCTTCCTCATTTCGGTATTTAATTTAATGTATTTTGCAAGCCAATCCGATTGTTTGAACTCTAAAACTCTGTGTACTTTTTCTACAATTAAACCATTTGTTATGGCTTGCTGCAGGTTTCGATAATGGATTACGTAATTTTTTTTTGAATGAAGTGTCGCCATAAGTTTTTTCACTTTTGAACCAGGAGGAATTTTGTTCTCAGGTAAAAATGGAAGATCGTTGTGTAAGTCATGGAGTTCATTAGGGTATGATATGTCTACCTCATACACTCTGCCTATATCTGACGTCGGCGTCAAAGCATCTAATCCGTCTAACTTAGGCTCCACCCATTTAAAGTCACCGTATGGCATGTGCTGTGACATTGTCCATCCGTACAAATTGTTACAATCTTGGTAAACTATCCATGATTTTGACTTTGTTGGGTCATAATCTTGGGTTTTTTCATTATTAGCTTTAGCATACCTCATTTTTGCTTGTGTGAGGCCACCGCGGATTGAATTTTCAAAAAATAAGTGGGTGTCAAAATCTGATAGTAATTCTAGTTTGACTTTGGTATATTTCAACATACAGTCAAAACTAAAACCTGGAGCTGTAAATTAGTAAACAGGGTCTAAATTGTATGTAGAAATGCACATGTCTCTGAAATTTTCGAACACGTCAGCCAACAGCAGCACGTCAATTTTTAGATACAAATCGCTATATTCTCCTAGGGTTTTGCATTTGAAATGGTTCCATACTGTGACTGCGTGTTCGTATTCCTCATCGTCTATATGTTCTTCCGTTAATGTGCTATAAAAATCTTCTTTCCGAGGCAAAATCGTTTCTTCTAACTTGTCCCAACTATCGGTAAACTCGTAAGGGTATACACCCTTACGTGTGACGAGATTCATATTTCTGGGTACGAATGCTTTTGCGGTTTCTCTGAACTTCTCGAAAATTGGTGTTAATAAATTTTCTACAAGTGTTGATAATTTTGATGCCATGAATCGACAAGAGTCTATGAATCGAATCGAAAAGTTGTTGGTAAGGTGTTTTGAAAATGAAATGTATTTTTCTTCGCTGTTCGGAATCACTGAGATTGATTTAGTGTCATTTCCGAGTTCGGTTACTATGAAATGTGCATCGTAATTAGACAAATTTTGTAGAAAGCACGTTATAAAGTTAGGTTTTTGGAGTTTCAGGTTGCAAGTATTGCATAAAGTTTGCCTAAATTTTCCTGATAGATGGCAGTGATCTGTCACCTTTTGGTTTTTGATAGAAAAATTACATTCACATAGATTGCATGTATTTTTCGATACATGTGCTTTTTGCTCTTCTTCTGTCATTATGATGGGTTTATTTGTTTTAAGTAAATCTTGGACTCTTCTCGCGATCTCTGTCACTTCATTAACGAAACGCTTGGCCACATCCTGATGTGACTCGCTTCCGCGATGAATAATAGGTGATGTTGGTATCTCATATTTCTCAAGCAAATCAATCCGGTACGTTTTCTGTAGCCTTAACGAAATATCCAAAGCTCATCGGTTCGTGTTTTTGAAAAGCTGCTGTTTTCTTGCCTTTGTTTTCTTTACATTTAACAAGGAGTGCCTCGAAATCGGCATTTATCGCGAACGGATGTCTTTCAGTGTTACTCCACCCATCGAACTGTAACAATGTACCGGGCTCAGGCATCTTAGGTAGAATTGGCTTGTGTGCTCCACATATCAACTTATGTTGTTCAAGCCCCGCCTGACCTTTTAACTTATATTTTGTATGTATATTGTCGATTCTGGTGAAGCAACGTTTGCAAAATATTACGCTCTCTTCATGTCCGGTTATTTGTGATCTCACAAGCCTCGAAATGTTCGAAATGTAGGTGTAGTGGCTTTTATGACCATCAGTAATTAGTAAGAGATCAGAATGATATTTTTTTTCTTCATCCACAACCTTAAGTGGATAAACAATATGTTTCTTATTCTTTTCTTTTTTTAATCCATAAACGTTGACTGATATTTTCGGATTATTTTTTTCAAATGTTTTTATTTCCCTCACAGGTGTTGGGAATGTTATATCAGAAAAATTATATTTGTCCTCGAGCGATGTATAATTTTCAGCCACTTGATTTTTGGCATTACCCGAAACGTGTCTTGCCAGAATTGCCCACTTGAAGCACTGTTGGTCTGAGTTTTGGGGGTTGATAATTGCTTTTTTATTTTTAATGTCTTCTGGAAGTTTAATATAAGACGAACCACCCATAGGCGTATAATTATATACTCCTAACAGTAAACCATCTATTGATTGTAACGTAAATCCACTTCCTTTAGAAGTATAAATTTCTTCTTCTAGCAAAAGATTGGCAAAATCTTGATTAATTTTAGCTTCGATATCTGTATCCATAAACATTTCCTTGGCTGAGGTCTTAAATGCTCTATTCTCTGCTGAATTTTCTACGTTCGGGCGTTCATATGTTGCTTCTAATTTAAGATTATATTTAATTGGTTGTTTTGTTGATAGTAATTTGAGTAGTTCTATTAAGTCTTTTTTTGTTGATTCTAAAAATGTTCTGTAGTTGGTCAAATTATCTGTATTTTTCACGTAATACCAATTGATTTTATTCGATAACGATGTTCCTGTCTTAATTAATCCTCGTGTCTTGACGATGCTCATGCGTGTCTTTTTAGTATTTGCTGCTTCATTCGAATTTTCCGTATGATATGGGCGCTTATGACCATTGCGAGATTGAACTGAAAAAAAAAAAAATTTTTTTACTATTGTATTGCTAAACATTATAGAAAAGCGTGTTACAGCTTGAAAATCTGTAAAAGTTTTTAATCAGATAGAAAAGATAAATTGTTTTTATAAATATAAACCTTTTTTTTTAGTAAAAGTACCTGAAGAAAAATTAAGAATTTAAAAAAAATGTGTTTATCAAATAGAAAATACGATTTTTAAAAACATACAATAATAAAATGAGGTAGGTATCAAGCTCTAGTATTACATAAATGTTTATATATATATATACATTAAATATGTAAAAGCAAAAACAAATATGATATAGAGCTCTTAGTTATAGTAATAATACACAACGTTCTTTTGTGTAGCATGAATCAATAGTAACATTAAGAATGTATATACGCTGGCGTTCGTAATAGTTTATTTAGATCGTTGGATAAATAGTATGCCTATTTATGTTTTTATTGGTATAGAAAAATAAGATATTCATATTGTGTTGTTATATATGTATAATATAGTCAAATATAAATATATCTGTTTATACTTTAAAATATATATAATAAAATAAAATAATTTATGTATGTTTTTAATAGCGTTATGACAAAAATCGTATGGAAATATTTTCAATTAATATATTATTAGATGAATTTATTAAAATTATTGAACAATTTTACGAACATTTTTAATATATATATACATATGATCTTAACGGGTTTAACTATGATAATTATAGGATTTATCAGGATTTTATCTAAATTATTACATGTTTTCCATGATTTTATACAACTTAGTATATTTTTTTCTATTTTTGTTAAGAAATGATGATGTTTCCGTATGTTTTTATGTACCTATTTTCACTAAGATGCTTATATTTTAACAGGTATTGTTTTATGCGGTTTTGAAGAAAAAAAACTAATAGCATTTTTTATTTTAAATATTTTGAAAGTTATAAAGCAATATTTATTTTAATTTCATCGAAAAAGTAATATTTCTACATGAAGTGTTCTATTTTGTATAAAATAGGTATCTAATATAATATTATCTATAATAACCTAAGTAAGTTATATATATATAAATACAGCTATAAAGTTATGAATAATATATTTACCATTATAATCGTAAATGTGTTCAGCTGGCTTATAAAAATCTTGAATTTCTTGCTTGGTTATGGTTGATTGTTGTCGAACAACAATATTCGAACCTGAAAATAGTATTATTATTAATTAGATACTTGAAAAAATGATTCTTCGAATAAATTACATTTTATTTAACACCTTTATTGTTATATATTTCCTTTAGGTAGTATAACGTATGTATGTTGTATTAAATAATTAAACATGATATACGTAGCCTTGATTAAATATATTTTATCTAATAAATCTGTAAATAGTTAAAAATTCTTACGATGTTTATCCTTGCTATGTCTGATGAGGTTATCTTTTCGCGTGAATATTTCTGAGCATATACTGCATGAAATTTTTTTGGAAACATCGTGTGACTTGTCATGTCTGTGTAGATTACTGATCCTAGTAAAGGTCTTATCACATATACTACTCGAGAACATGATTACGCCTGATGAAAACTGAAGAACACTAGTCGAACTTGCGAAACAAGACTTCAACGAATTGATGGATAATGAATTATATAAAAATATATTATACTTTAAATAACAGTGTTAAATAGTTTTATCGAAGTGAATTATTAACGTATTCGCAAATAATAGAACTAGCGGTAAGAAAATGAACTACGGTGTTAATTAAAGTAAAATAAATAATTTGATTTTTATAATACTTGTAAAATATTTGTATACACTTTAAAAACACTTAAGAACTCTGAAATAACACGACTTGACACTTGAACGGTAGTTAACAGACTGGTTTAATTTTGCTTTGTGTGCACTACTTTCTGCCTGGAATTCATCGACAATACTAAAGCTATGGTTTCCTAGAAAAGCGGTGCCGTTATCTAGCGGCCGTAATATAGCGTTGGGTGACGTCATCTATAGGTTTTCTATAAATAGCATCGGAGTAGGTTTCCTAGAGTACGTTGAGTGTCACCGTAACGTCAAATAGCGGTGCTGTCATTTGCATGACGGCCGTCATAGCGGTGATTAACAGTAGTTCAACGTTTTTCGCGTGTAGCGGTGTGCATATTTAATTAATACAATGAGTGGAAACGTGATTTGGACGAGCGAAAATGACGAACAATTAATTGATTTTGTCAAAAATCATGAAGCTTTGTACAATATCAAATCCAAAGAGTATAGACAAGCCCAGATGAAGCAAAATTTGTGGAACGAAATTGGAATAACACTTCAAAAATCAGGTGTGTATAGTACTAAAATGCAGTAAAGTGAAAAATTCAATAAATATTAACTAATTTAATATAAAACACTTTTTTCAAGCTTAAATTTAATTTATTCAACATTATTTTAAATAAAGTTTAGAATAGTAATATGTTATTTTTTGTTATCGTTTACGTGTTATCACAGATACTATTTTAATATAAGAATAATGAATATATTAATTATTAATATACAAGAGATGCTTTAAAGTAAAAGTAATTACCACAATAAATATATTATATAATAATCACAATTAATGTCGCATTGCATAACTATGCTGCCACTCTACAGCCCCTGGACCGTTGAAATAATTTTTGAATATTTCTCGAATTTGAGTGTGATTCATTTTGGCACGCACATTGTGTTCTGTTATGGGGATTAAATTTTCAGTTGGAAGTGGTAGTGCATCATCAAAATGTTTTTGACCTGGAGCAAGTACTTTTGCTCCCCGTAAAATATTATATAATATGCATGCACATTTAATCAATTTGTCTGTAGTTTCTGGGGCAGTAGCAATAGGTAGGAAAAAGAGTCTGAAATAACCGCATAAAATTCCGAAAGTATTTTCAGTTGTTCTCCGAGCTCTAGATAGTCGATAATTATATACAGCTTTTGATGGATCATGTACAGATTGCTGTCTTGGATAAGGTTTCATTAGGTTTTCGTGCAGAGCAAAAGCTTCATCCCCTACAATGACATGGGGTACAACCGTATTTGTCCCGGGTATTTCTTTTGGTGCTGGTATATTGAATGTATTATTTTTTATCATTTTTCCTATTTGACTCTTTAGGTAGATACCAGCGTCTCCTTCTCTACCATAGGAACCAATATTAACAGCAGTGAATTTACAATCCGCGTCAACGACTGCTAGCAAAACGATTGAATAGTACTCTTTATAGTTAAAATATAATGATCCACTTCGTTTGGGAGCCTTTATTCTTACATGTTTCCCATCTATCGCCCCGACACAGTTCGGGAAATTCCTTTTTGTAAAAAATTGACTACTGTTTTGTCTTAGTTGATTTTCTGTAGGCGACGGTATAGTTAACTCAAACATCCTTTTAATAATGGCCTCAGCAACTTCTCTTATTATAACACTTATCCAGGAATGACTGATTCGATATTGAAAAGCAAGTGACCGAAAAGATTCTCCTGTGGCCAAATGTCTGAAATAAGAAATCAAACTACAATTTATGTTTTAGGTTCTGACTGCAGTAAACGATGGGCCTACGTAAGGGATTATTATATTCGGCGTAAAGGTAAACCTGGTACTGGTTCAGGTGGAGAGGCAGCAAAGAATAGGTCTGTTCTCCTATCATTCTTAGATAGTCTTCCTTCATCACAAAGACTTAACACAATTACTAATGTTGTTAGAGATGAGGTTAGGTTTGACGAGAGTGAATTTATGGAAAACTCTCACGCTGAACTCGAAGAAAACATCCCCCAGATTGATGAAAGAGAAGAAAATATGACAATCATCAATAGTAACGAAGATAATAATAAAAAAATGGATGGTAAGAAAGACAACATTATGAGAGATAAAAAAAAGATAAAACTAACACACTCTGAAGAACGATTACAATTATTAAAACAAATAGCTGAACGAAACTCAACTCCTGCAAATGAATTGGACGAAATCGACCTTTTCTTTTACTCCATGGCAAAAATTGTAAAGAAACTTCCTCGGTATGAACAAGTGCAATTAAGTATGCAAATTTCGTCATTGGTCGGTAATGCTGAATTAAATAGTATTTTAGGCGATTCAAGACAGACAAATTCATCAACAGGGCCAAGTTCAACAATCAGCTTCATATACCCAGAAACGGTGCCATCTCCAGCAACAAGTGGAACGTCAAATTACCAAGGACAAATATATGACGAGTCATCAAGAGATGGAAGAGGTGTTTCAGAAAGTGTTCTCAGCCTAACAGAAAATGACCAATTTTTTTTACTTAATGACTAATCATTAAAACTTACAATAACATACTTTTAAAAATTAATTATGTTACTTCGCTTGTTATTTATACAAATAAAACGTTTCTTAAAAGTGGCTGTTATAATTTACTACGATATAATATTATAATATAAATATTTAGATTTATTATACTTTATTAAACATTTTATATAATATTGGCCGGTATAGTATTGGTATACCAGTATTACTAGCATTAGTGACAGATTGATAGGTATAATTTATAATAAAATATTATTCAGTGTAGGTACTTACCTCACAAGTATACATAACTTTTCTTCTGGACATATGGGCTTTTTGTGTCTATTATATGGTTTATAAGTTAAGTCATCTCTTATGTGATTCAATACATAGTCAAATAACACTGGTGTTAAGCGAAAGTATTGCCTAAATTTTTCGTCATTACACTGCAGATGGCGTTGCACTAAAATTTGAAATGCACCCTCAGTTTCACGATTTTTGAACATGACACTCTCCTCCAAACGATTGTCTTCGTCTTCTGATGACTCTTCATCATCCAAACATACCAATAATGCTATGTCCAAATCGTCCATTTTTCACCAGTGTACGATCTACTACTCTCGAGTGAGTACTGACTACTGAGTGACTACGATTGAATACGGTCGCCCTACTCCCTAGGAAACCACAGGTTGGTCACCGTAAAGACGGCCGTAAAAAACAACCGTAAAATGAAGGCCGCTAGATAACGGCACCGCTTTTCTAGGAAACCATAGCTTAACTTTGCAGGCTCTTTACAGGCTTGTACATGTTTGTAATCGAATGATGTTGTTAGGGCGTGAGGACGGGTGGCGGGGTGTAAAATATATTTTATATTGGTACTCTGTTGGATTGGAATGTTTTATAATTGTGACTATGTGTGAGTTTCCGTGTGTGTGTATGTATGTGTATATGTATGTATGATATAGTCGATACAAATGTAGGTACATCAGAATATTTTATATATTTTTTTGTATAGGGGAAATAAAAGGGGAGGTAATGTATTTGAAGGAGAAGGGGTAAAATATAAGTCGGACAAGTGTTCGACATAGGTGATACAAATGTACATCAGATTATTATTTATATATTTTTTTGTAAAAGGGGAGGTAATGTATTTGAAGGGGAAGGCATAAAATATATGTCGGTCACGTGTCGGATCGGGTGGCGGTTGTGATGTTTGATGAGTTTAAGTGTGTTGCGGGTTGCCTATATTGAGTAATTAATACAAGTTTGGGAGGAGCCTGTACTACGAATTGCCTATACAGAGGAGCCTATGCTTTTACATGTAAAATTTAAGGGGGAGGAGCTCCAGAACCTACATAAATATACTACTCATATACAAATTCAAATTAATTTAAAAAAATTTAAAAAATGTTGAATTAAATTAACAAGGAGGCAAGTAATTTTGTTACGAAACAAAGCGGGTGGAGTTTATATTCAATTGATACGTTACAATTAAGGATTAACATTGTAAACCCGTTAACCGGGTCTATACTTATTTAATTTTACCTGATAGTATACGAAATAAAAAAGCTGTTATAAACGTAAAAAACAATGATGAAAAATGATTTAAATATGCAATTTTAACTAAATATAATAATCGTGCAGATAAAACTAAATTTAGTTATCAATATTCTAAATCTGTGGATAAAATTGCTCTTAGTGCTAATGATGATAAAAGGATTATTATGCGTGATGTTATTAATACTATTGCATACGGTCACTATTGCTTAACAGAATAATTATATATTTTATGATTAATCGTGTGAAAGTGAATACGTTAAAAATAAAATATATAAAAAATAAAATAAAAAATACATTAATATCATACAACTTCAATTATTTTTTTATTCTCATATTCAGAATACATGTTAATACAATTAGCTAAACGGTATAACATCACATTTTTTCAGAATGATCAAACCTAAAATGTATGTTAAACCAAATATTCAATTAAAACCTATAATACCAATCTGATGAAACTCGATATCGAAAATCTTAGAGAACTTTATTTTAATTTATATAAAGGATGTAGAATTTTAAAGAATCATAACTTTAACACAAAATTATATAACGAATGGAAGATCGCAAGGGGTTTGGTTGTAAAAAGACTATCACATTTAATACAATTATAAAGTACCAACGTATAACATTTAGCAAACAATTATATATTTTTATTTATAAATACAAAGTTATCGATTTAACCACTGAATGGGTGAAGACATACAAAAACGAATATAATATATATATATATATATATTCAACTTTTGTAAATTGAAATTTAATAATGTAACCTAGTTTGTTTTTATATTTGATTGGATATTCGTAAAATTCTTATTAAGAATCACGATCTGTAGAGATGATCTACTACGAATACAATGAACCTAGCGTACAGATGGCATAGTTCCATGTTACGATTGTTTACTAATCCGTCTCATGTGTCGCGTAGATGGTTCGTTAACATTCTTAGTAGATCCTAATTCGATTATTCGATGGCTACAATGTGGAATAACATACTATCTGATCAAAACATTTGGTTATTAATCAATATTATTAAAGTTGAATATTGTATTATTTGTATGAAAATCAATGTTTTAAAATATTTTTTGTCTTAAATCACATCAATACTGTATTATTGTAACGATAAAATCTGAACAAACGTATTGATTGTTACATTTCGTTAAATTATAAAATCAGTAATTATCTATTTTAAAGTATCGTTTACATTTACCCACGAATTGGGACTATTATCAAAACCCAACCATTTAACATTTTAACATTTTAACATATAATTTGTTTTTATTTTTTTTTATAATACGTTCAATGAGAAAGGTGTCGGGATAAAATGTTTTTTTTAAATTCTTGTACATAAAAATGTCCTAATATTATATTATTTAATCCGTCTTTTAGTTGAAATGTTAATGGATTTGTATTTTAAATTTTAGAAATAGTGAAAATTTCCGTTGACCAATTTGGTGTATAATCTTTACTAAATTTATGTTTATACTTAGATATTCTTACTTTATCATTAATTTTAAATTTAAGTTTATTTGAGGTATTGATTTGTAATGTATTTGTTTTTATTTGAATCGGGTTGATCCGAGCTTCTTTTGGTGTACATTTTATTGTTGAATGTTTTGTATTATTATAATTATTTACTAATTTTGAAATTGAATTGTACCAATTCCAGGAACCTGTTGATGTAAAATGTTTGTAAATTTTATTTTTTATTGTTCTTATAACACGTTCAACCATACCAGCCTTTATACTTCTGTATGTTGAATAATGTTTAATATTGTACTCATTCATAACACTTAGAAATATTTTATTGTAAAACTCTGTACCATTATCTGTTTGTAATAATTTTGGTTGATTTTTTTTTAATATTTTTAATATACCTTTTGTACATTCCTTTGCTGTTTTATTCTTCAGTGCCTCACACCACACATACTTCGTAAATGTATCTATTATAATTAAAATGTACTTAAAACCATTATTTTGTCTAGAATGTGACTGCATATCTATTAAACCAGCTTGCCAAAGATCATCTATAAACCCTGTTACCAAGCTACGTCTAGGAAAAATGTTTCTTGCTGGTCGATGTAGCTCATCAGCTATATTCTCTAATATTGTCATTAGACTATAATATTTCTCTCACGTAATTCTTCTAAAATAGATATAATTTCGTTATTTATTTATGAAATTCCAGACAATCTGTATGATGCCATAGGACCTTACGCAGACATACCAAAAATAATCTCATTTGTCAAAAAAATTGAAATGTACAACTTAATTTAACTTAATTTATATAATTTATTTTCATTATGTATTTATATATTTTCTCTTTTTCCCCTTAATCACTATTGTACCACTGTAAAAACCCCCTTATGTACATAACCATATAATCTTGTAAGCTAATAACCATGATGTTGATGCAGTAACAATAAAAAAAAAATTTCGTTATTTACACCAGTATTTCCAACACTTTGTGATGATGTTAAAAGATTTAATCTAGTTACTAGTTCATTCGGATCATCATAATAAACTAGTTGTGTTTGAGGTAATACATCTTTATATAAACCACTACCTTCCTGAGTTTCTGGTGAAGAAAAACTAATCATATTTTCAACTGCAGGATCTGTAGACATAGAACTGCTTGCTGACGGATGAAAATCAAGTGATTCATTTGTCACGGTTGTATTATCATGAATATTACTTCGTTTGGGGTTTGGTTTAGACAAATGATTCATGAGTGGTAATAAGTTAATACGAGTTTTAGAGTTATTAATTTTAGCTATTTCTTCGTTAAACTGTCTTTCCTCATATTTCATTCGATCATAAAGAGGTTTTACAACGGTCGACCATTTATGAAATTTTGAGGTCTTAGGTTTCCATATCCTTTCAAATGAACTCCTGAAGTTTTCAAAATGTTGTAATAATTTTCCATATCTTCTATTGTTGTATTTTTTGATTTCTTCTCACATAATAAAGACCATAATCCTTCTGTCCATTTATAATAACTATTAAGGAACTGCAAGTTACCATGATTAAAAATTACGGTGGGTTTTCCTATTTTATATGAATCACTGGATTTATCATAGTGCATACCATACGATTTATCATAACGTTTTGGAATATAATCATCATTAAAAAAATTTTCAAATGATGAATTTAATTCATCGTCAACATCTTCGTCACTAGTGCATAAGGTTTCTGTATTTTTTAGCTCAGTCGAGTGTGACGTATTTTTTTCTGCTCGTGTTCTCAATGGATCAATTAATGGTTTAAATGCTTTACGGAAATACTTGTCAGAATCTATATCTTTACGTTTCAATTCCATTATTTTGCGTTTAATATTTTTTTTCGATGCAATCAAATTTTCTAACAAAACTTTTTCTTTGTTCATTGTAAATAATAAACACAATATAAGAACATTGGATGACTACTGATAGTCCTATGTAGATAATAACAGTGTCACGTTATATATATATATATATATACACGTATACTTAATTTATATATTTAATTTTAATAAACGTATGAAAACCACATCTATATCTTCCATCATTCATTTCCCGAGTTTTATCGATAACCATAAACCCATAATCTCTGTTATTCCAACATAAATGACACATTTTTCGAAATTCTGAGAAATCCATATCTGCCGACGAATGAT